CACTCCAGTGAGACGTCGGGAATCGGCGTTCCCACCGGAGATCGGATCTCCAACAGGAATCCGATTCCCTCGTTCCCAAAAAACTACCTATGCTCCCGCCGCTTTTCCCACAGTAGATGAGATCTGCGATGGTCAAATCCCTTCCTTGATTTCCATGCAGATCATTCTCAGTCTCCGTTGTAGGAAATTGTGACTCATGATATAGCTTGCAGGAAGAGCAGTATATAAGCTCGAGGATCCGGACGTTCGGGGATTCGCGTTCACCTGCTATCTACAGTGTCGACTGACACACTTCGCTTCCGTGATCTACTTAATCTTTATCTTACTCTCGCGCGCCAGTAATTATTATCGTGTGTAATAAATCTCGTCCTAATTTAGCCTGGCCCGACACCTTCCAGGAGTATTTCGATCCATTGACATACGCGGTACCTAGATTAAAATAAACCCCTTTTTCCTCTTAAGCACAAACTTAGTGAATCCCTTTTCTGATTATTAAAAATAAACCCTCTTCTTAAGCACAAACTTAGTGATTATTCAAACTATTTCTAGCGAACTTAAAAGATTCAGAAAATAAGAAAAAAAAAAACACGGAAAACGGAGGAAAAACAGATGTACCTTATTACGGAACAAGACGCCAAAGTACTTTTCGGCATTATCGAGCAATTCCGGGCGGAAAGTAGTCGTTATAAATTGTGCGTTTTGCGAAAGCTCATGGATCATGTCTATAAAAAATGCATTAAAAAAATTCAAGAAATTTTCCACCACGAAATAATACCTCTGTCAGCAAAGCACATACATAATTAATTAGTGTACCGACTGCCGGTGTAAAAATGCAAAATATCCACAGGCTGTAAAAATGCATAGTTATCCACAGGCTTTTTTTTCACCAACGGCCCTGTACTTTTAGCTAAAAGAATTGAGACTGGTCGCCAAGACTGTCAGGAATTCTCCCTTAAAATTTCAGCTCTCTAGCTTTCCTAGCTCCCGAGTTAGCAACTTACCCGCAAAAAACTTTTACGGTCCGTACGTAGGAATCACGCGGGTAAAAGCGCTCATTTTGAGGATTTGGCACGTACGTGTATGTAGATTAAGTTCCCAAAGTTTCAGCCCTGTAGTTTTTGCAGGTCTCGAGATGAAAAATCGGTACAGAGGCCCTGCGCACACACAGACACACACACACACACACGCAGACAACCCCTCTACAATATGCGTTTTTGCGTTGCATAGTTGCAAAAACGCA